GGTTTTTTTTGGATATAAAAGAGTAGGGGGGTTTTTTTTAAAAAAAAAAAAAAAAAAAAAAAAAAGTATTAGTGTATAAATGAAGTTGCCATGTCCGCAGCTAGTAGCTAAATGATCAAGAGAACTAGCAGTTTCAAGCTCCATTTTTCATTCATCTTCCTAGACCACAAGAGCTTGAACATTTAAACTATCACTGTACGTGAGGAACATTTAAAACACAAAAACAGTTCTTAATGCTTATCTGCAGACTGCTATCTGTTTCAGGGTAAGTCTGGAAAACCTGAAGCCCTGTATATCTTGGGGTGTGTTTACTTCTGCAAAATACATGTTTGCCTAGGAGGCTGTGTGAGACCTAGCCCAAGACGTTGGGAAGCTTGTTCATTTATTCTAAGAACCAAATGTTTAATGCATTTTCTTGTGTTAAAAATATCACAAATATCACCTGTCAGAGGGGTGCTTTTTCTGTTCTCGTGCACTTCATGCATAAGCTGTTCAATATTCCCCTCTCCAGTTACTTGCCTATTTATGCCTTTAATTACTTAGATAGCCGTACTAAAACAATGCTTTCAAGCTTTCCTGACCTCCTCTGGTGAAATGGAGGACTAAGAGCTTAAGTCTTTTGCAACAAACAGTGTGTGTTGACTGTGCTCGTTTTGGCAATCTCCCTTAAGTTACTGTGTCCTAAAATATGAGTGTGCTACTTATAGTGTCCAACCTAAAGAGAGGTGCAAACAACTGTGGAGGGATGTGTGAATGTTGAACAACCAGGCATCTCCTGGGTGCATGCATGTGACCTGGCGCAAATTCAGGAGCCGCTGTCATCTGTATTCAGAGCCTTGAGCAGATGAAGTTGGAGAATTCCTCTTTCAAGTCCTGTGTATCAAAGACTTATTTGAACTGTGTGCAGTTCATATATTTGGTTTCCATTTTAATGATCGGAAAATTTCTGGCAGTAAATATGGCAGCTTTTTGTTCAAATGCCTTTGTGTTCAACTTCAGTGAATCCATATTTCTGCAGATCTGCTGTTTACTCTGCAATTCTAAGCACCCTGGTGTGAATTACTTTGGCTTTCTTTGTGATCTTGTCTTGTGATACTGTTTTTGATTTCTTTAGTTCTGTTTTTGAGAAGTAAATGCTGGAAGGTCTGTTAAGTATTTTTAAAAAGGCATGTATTAAACTTTATTCTTGGGCTGCAACAGATCATATCAGGAGTAAGTCCACGTTATACTAAAACTTATCAAATGTGTGTTTAACTGAGACAACACTGTTCAGTGTAGGTAGCTTAATATAGGTAAGACTTTCTTAACCTTCACTTGCTATAATGATACTTGAGCTTTATTTATGTAAGTAAGTGTATACATCGAACATCAGATGTGGAGCAAAATGGTTTGTATTGTGAGGAGCAGGTGTTGATGCCACTGTGCTGGGGGTGCCAAGGAAGGACCTCAGTCTGCTCTGGTCCCACAGACTGAACACCTGCTAGCAGTTAGCATGCTTAAATGCATTCAGCTTCTGACCTAGTTTTGTCCAAAAGGACTCTGCTTATTCCCTCTAAAACTGCTGTGATTCCACCCAAAATGTAGTGAAAATGGTCAGCAGATGAGCAAAAGGATTGCTTCTGAAGCACTTTCCTAATCTCAACAAAACTGCTGACGTAGTGTCTCCCTGGCTGGTTTAGGGGAGGCTGACAAATGATTGTGGTGTGGAAGGGAGAGTGAAGGCATTTGAATTAACTTCCATGTAAACTAACTAGGTAATGTTGCTATTTTTTCCCCACAGTTCTTCTATATCCTAGGCGAAGGTACCTCTTTGAAAATTTTTCAAAACTGTAATACTTAAGGGAAAGGGAGGATTTTCTTTCTTAATGTTTTTTAAACTTTATTAAGTGTGAAAGCTCCAGCAGGTACTTGTTTCAAGGCTTTTTCTTAAAAAGATTATTTACTCAAGTGATTCTGAGAAAAGGGTAGCCTTAATTGATAAGGATAAGGCCACCTCATCAAGGAGAGGCAATACCTTTCAACTTCCTTATGTTTCTAATGCAAGCTTGTCTTCTATTTTATAGATAAACTAACACATACAGCTGTTGCTGAAATGCTGTGGTGCTCTACACAGGAAAAAAAAACTCTGTAAACTACAGTCTGCAACTCCTAAAGGAGTAAACCTAAAGAAATGTGTGAAAAATTTAGTCAAGGCATTGGATGAGTTGCTTTAGCCAGAAAATTTTGAAGAAAAATCTAGCCAATCCAGTTAATCCAGAATACCCGTTTCTTTAGCACTGTGCTTTTTTATTTTGTTTTAGCTCAAGTATCTAACTTGTGCTTAGCTCTGGCCTAATACCATAAGTGCAGAATTTTCAAGGAAGTGCATCCATCTCAAAATAAGGAAAGAAAATAAATATCTACAGCTGGCTTAAGCTTTTTGAACTGCCTTTTTTCCTTCTTCCAAATGTTTCTTTAAAGGTGCTTGCTCATGCAGTTGTTAATCTCATGTCTGCTTGCATGAACCAAATCTTTCTTGGAAAGAACCTCTAAACATCAATTAAAATACAGCATGGGAGGACTAATGGGCTCTAAAATGGTGCAGTGGTTGTTGTCTCCTGCTACCTTGCAAAAAAAATGACGTTTCTGAAGAGCATTTCAATTTCTAGAAGTGGGAGTCAACATCCCTAGCCTACCGTTCCCGTGCTTCATTGCTAGGCAACAGTCAATATAATCGCGTCGTTCATTGACTATACTTTGGATACAGGAACTGTCTGCATTTTTGCCATGTTGTTCCCAACATGGTAAGACATGATTTCCAGAATTGTATTAGCATTTCTGCATGTCTCTTGCGCAAAGTAGTGCGCACGCTCTCTCTCTCTGTATATATATTTACTAGCTTGTTCACTTCATAATTTGGTGAAGATGTTCCGCTTTTTCCTTATTTCATTTTTTCACTACTTTTGTGTCTACAAACCACCTTTTATTAGATGCATACGAGCCTCTTTGGTGCTTTAACGTTTCTATGGAGTAGCCTCTTATTTTCAGAGGTGAAGTAGATTGTGCAAATCCATGTAGAACTGATGACACCTTGGAGTTGGCCTTGTTCTTTGAGTCGGCGTTCCCTAACGCAGTGCTGCAGAGGCTATTCCATGTTTAAAGCATTACTCTAGCAGCCATTACGCAGTGTTGCTCTATAGGAAAGTTGCAGTAACAGTACAGTGTTAAATTACCCAGTAGCTAACTGCTGGAGTAGGAGGTACCAGTATTTTTTGTCTTGTTTTGTTCTATGTCACACTGAACAAGTTGCCCTGAGGGCTGTGAAATCTCCATTCTTGAAGATTTTTAAAGACCCAGCTGGACAAAGCCCTGAGCAACCTGGTCTAAACTCAGCACTGACCTTGCTTTGAACAGGAAATTGGACTAAGTGATCTCCCGAGTCTTTCAGCCTGAATTATTCATTGGTTCTTTCATTCTGTGGTAGTGTGTCCCAGTCTCTACCTGCTTGTGCTAACATGGTGTGTTTGTGTGTGTTTCTCTCCCCACTATGGGGACACAGGGTATTTGCTGGGCTCTGAGTGGGCAGGAAGGGCAGCTTGCAGCCTTCTCTGCAGGTCAGAGCTGAGGCGTGCAGAATTTGTTAGTGAACTTCTGCATCTGGAGTGCAGACTGCATTGTAATAGGGGAGCTGCAGCCTTTAGAGCAAGGTGAGGTTCCCCAGATCATGGCTTAGTGTTTGCAGCTACTGAGTAGAGTAGCAAAACAGTGTGACTTGATACCAGAAAGGTATCGGTATCATGAAAGGTTCAAATGAGTCTGTCATTGCAAATCAATTGAGTATAATTAAATGCCTCATTTAAAGAGAAAATTAAACATTTAAAGCATAACAGGATTATTTCATTATGCAGCAGGCATAATGAAAGGTAGTTATAAAATACTTTTTTTTTTTAAAGCAAGTGTTGATAAAGTAAGGGAATTTATTTCCAAATGTACTTGTGTTAGCTGGCTTCTCAAGCATCAGCTGTCTGTACTTCACTAGTTCTGTGCAGCTTTAATAAAGATACTGGTATGTAGGGACTACAGCAATTTTGGGGGAGGTAAGTGCCTTGGAATGATGCATATGCTCCTTTTTTAGAGTTTTTGTGAAGTGGCATTTGTGAAGTGGCATTAGTCTTGCAGATTTATCCTACAGGACTTACTTGCTATTAAATAATAGTAGCTTAATAAAGTGATTTTCTTCATGTAAAAAAGATGGCTGTTTTTGTGCAATGACCCTTTAGAGAAGGTCATCTTTTAACGAACACTTCAAAAAGGCTGTCTTCAGTAGTTTTCCTCCCTAGCTGAGGTCAAAGCTTGGCATGCATATGTAAATGCTGCTAATATGGGAATCACGTATGGTAGATAGCAAAATGGAAGAATCAGTAAATAAATAGCAGCAGTAAAGTAACTGTGTATGTTCCAAAATTTTCAGTTGCCATTAGCTTGCTGTTTGGGCTGGAATCTTGTTCTCAATGCTGCCTCGTACTCTGAAGTGCTATGCTGTGTGATACTGTGCTGTACTGCTATACTGTGTGAAGGATTTAGCTTGTAGGCTGAGGGGGGAGATGTCTTGGGAAGGAACAGGCAGCAAGATTTTAGTGTTTGTAGCATGATTGCCTGCAGTTCTAACATGCCTCTGAAAAGACTTCCATAGTGTAGTGAAAACCAAGTCTGCCTAGATTAAATGTAGTTTGAAAGTTGGAATTAGCTAGCCTCTGCTCGGTTCAAGATGTTCTTAAGGGACATACCCTTTAACTCAGCAAAGGTGTCAATCTCAACATACCTAACTTCTGAGGAGAACTTACAGACTTTGATAAAACAATTGTTGCAAAATAGTCTTACGGAAGGGAGAGTTTGGTGTTCAAAGAACTTACCAAGTTAACTGTGTTTATTGCAGGCAGCAGCAGGCATACTGTGCTACGTGGGAGCCTATGTGTTCATCACATATGATGACTATGATCACTTCTTTGAAGATGTCTACACGCTCATTCCAGCGGTGGTTATCATAGCTGTGGGGACGCTTCTCTTTATTATTGGACTAATCGGGTGCTGTGCCACGATTCGGGAAAGTCGCTGTGGACTTGCTACTGTAAGTTGTGGTGTTCCTGTGCTTGTCTACTGTGCATATTTTTGCCCTTTTCCCTTTTAATTGACTTCTAAAATGTATGGTTAAAGTTGGTTTTGATCTTGTTTTATAACTATTTTCTTTCCCCTTATGGTGTGGGGTGTTTGTTTGCTTGTTTGTTTTCAGTCTTTTTTTTTTTTTTTTTTCAGTCTTTTTTTTTTTTTTTTTTCTTCCTCTCTCTCTTTTGAGCAGCAGTGCTAAGTTAGCTGGTTCTGGCAATGGAAGGCTCCTCAGTTTTTATCTCTTTTTAACAGGTGTGAGCTCATTAAAAGTGATGCCTCACAACTATGTCATGATTTCTTGATACCACTTTAAAATTGCCTGTGCTGGATGAAAAGGCGAAATTTGAGGGAAGGAAGGGTGGGCCAGGAGCCAGCTAGGTTTACGTGTCCATACATTTAAATATATTGTGGCAAGTGCATAACTTGCTGCCTCTGTCGGTTTAATCTACCAAAACATTCCCTTAATGCACCTTGTGCTCTGAAGTGGCAGTCCAGGTAGCCTCTTTGATGTAACACTGAGGTTTATCTCATAGGAAGAAGCGTGGAAGAAGCACTTGATTAAACCAGTCCAGTGCAGTGCTTCATTCCTAATGGTCAGCACTCCCCTATCTGTGCTACGAACTCTTAATTTCTTGAATGAAATTAACTCTGGACTCATTTTGGTCAACTTAATTGCTTGCTTTGTTATTTACTAAATTACAACCCTTCCTGAGAATTTGCTTCATAATGAGCCTCGGAGACTCAGTTGAGACTTTTAGGATTTAGATAGCTGAAAGTATTTTCACCAATACTCTGGCTTATGTTTTACAGTTCGTGATCATTCTGCTTTTGGTTTTTATCACTGAAGTGGTGGTGGTGGTTCTTGGATACATCTACAGAGCAAAGGTAATATCTCAATTTTGATAAATGTTTTATGGTAAACTCTACTCAGCACTAGTGAGGCCACATCTGGAGATCTGGAGTACTGTGTCCAGTTCTGGGCCCCCCAGTACAAGAAGGATCTTGAGCTACTGGAGAGAGTCCAGCACAGGGCTACAGGGATGATCAGGGACCTGAACATCTGCCCTGTGAGGAGAGGGTGAGAGAGCTGGACCTGTTCAGCCTGGAGAAGAGAAGGCTGAGAGGGGACCTGAGCAGTGTATATAAATACCTCAAGGGAAGGGATGTGGAGGATGGTGCTGGCCTCTTTTTCACTGGTGGCCACTGATAGAGCTAGAGGAAACGCATAAACTGAAGCACCAAACATGACACAGGAACTTAAGGGGACATTTCTTAACAGTGGGGGTGACAGAGCACTGGAACAGGCTGCCCAGAGAGGTTGTGGCGTCTCCTTCTCTGGAGATTTCCAACACCCGCTTGGATCCAGTCCTGTGCCACGTGCTCTTGGTGACCCTGCATGTGCAGGGGCGTTGGGCTAGATGATTTCTAAAGGTTCTTTCCAACTGTAAGGATTCTATGATTCAATGAAACTGTGCCCAAAATACAAGATAGACTATACTATTTTTGTATTTATCTGTAGAACTGGTAGTGGCTATTTTTAACTCTCATCAGTTTTTCCTTAATTTGAGCTGCCGATATTTAAGAACTGATGCTGTGTAATAAATCAAGTCAAACAGATTGAATATGATAATATACAGTTTAGTTACAATTTGTTTAGTAAAATTGTGTTGTTTTTTTCTGATCCTATTTATTTATACCCCTGCCAGTGAAATGCATTCTAGAAATATGCCACATAACATTATAGATATATAACAATGTACCTTGAAGAAAAAGAAATTTCAAACTTGTACAATTTTGCTGGCTTTTGCTATAGCTGCATTTGGCCTATAAAAATCAGACATCTCCATGGATCTTATTTGCACGTTGCTTTTTTCCAGCTAATTGCATTCAGAGCAGATTAAAAATGAGGTGCATATGTCTTTCCTGCCTAGCTCATCTGTAAAGTTATGTACTTGAACTGGTCCAAAATAGGGTCAGTCCCAGCTGCACATTGCTGTCACCTCTCCTTTTGTCTTGCTACCTACCGTGCAGCTTCACAAACACTAATGCAGGGGCAGAGCTTGGGAAGGTCATGTTTTTAGTGGCAGCATGGCCTTATGCCAGTATAAGGCATTTGTGAAAGCCTATATTTGAAAATTAAATTTTATAGTCCTCGGAAAGAGACAGTTCCATTTTTGTGTGTGTTTAGTAAAAATGCCAATTTCTACTATGTTACATTATTTAGTGTCTTAAATTGCTCTTTTGAAGTGCAACCGGAGTGTCAAAAATGTGTTTTATTAACAGTGAATTGGGAGTTGAAGTCAACCTAGATTTCTGAATATTGTTGCCAGGAAAAATGAAGCAGCGCTGTACTTTGTTTTGTTCAGTTTTAGGCATGTGTGGGGATTGTGGGTGTGGTGTTTGGGGTTGTTGTGTGGTGGGGGGGGTGCGAGAGGTGGTCATGTATGAGCCTTCTGGATTTTAAGAAAAAAAGACTGAAATCATGTTAGAATTGCTTTAGTGTAATCTATATAAATTTACATGAAAAGATGGATTGAAGTTATGGCAGTAGTTGTCAAAACTGCTGGTATGAAATGTATCCGAGTCTAATACTATGTTGCCTCACTGAGGTGGCATTACCCCTTTTTGCATTACAGTATCACAGTTGACCTTGAAAACTTTTCCAACACATCTCAGTCAACCCGTGTGTGTTGTTCTGAAGGTGTCTGTAGACTGGAACTATGTCAGGCTTGTGTAGGCCATATTGTGATATAGTGATGTGCTGCAAAATTTGTTAGTCCCTTGGTCTCTCCCTTTCTACCTTCCCCCTGCCACCCCCCTGCTTTTTTTCCCCAACGTTTTTAGGTTAGCTGGAGATCAAGTTTTCTTGTATGTCACTGGCTTTCAGGTGTAGTACTGTCCTACTTTAACTGTAAGCCAAGTGCTTTACAAGCATGGATGCAAATAAATTATTTAAAAACCTATATAAAAAAACTAGTCTGTTTTGTGTGACTAATTTAATTTATAATTCAGTGATTTTTGTTTAGTTAAATCTTTAAACAATTGATTTAAGCTAGTCTGAAACAAGTGCCTCTGCAGGCCGAATTAGCTTTGAATCATGTCTGTTGGTACAGATCTGTTTATAAAGATAACGAGCATTGATACTACATTGATACTTACAAGTCTACTGAAGAATACGCCTGCCTACTTAGTACTCAGTCCTCGGATTACGCTCCTTGCAAGCAATTCCTGCTGCACGTGATTAACTCTCAATTGTCATGTTCCTTTTTCTTATTCTGGTATTAATGTTTAGCTACACCAAGCTTGTATAAAATTTTCTGTGCATTTAATTGACGGTTAGCGGAGCCTCTTTCTAGAAAGACTCTAGGAAATACTTCTTCCAGAAGCATTATCGATAATCTTTTGCGGGAGAGGTGATGATTCTTGGGTGGCATCCATTTCTAACACAGGTACTTGGCAGAATCTTTAGCAGCTTGACTCATCCGCGATAGCTTTGGAAGTTATTCTAGTAGCTGTTGCTATGTACAGTGTGCTGGCAGTACCATTTCTGAGGAAGTGGAGGGGAGGAAAACTCAGAGCTTGGTCATCATTGGATAGAAGAGTCGGCAAAACTTTGAGAATTTACCTGTGTTTCACAAACGGAAGAAGCAGCTGATAAGAGTTACCAATAACTCACTGGGGTCCTAAACCAAATCAGTTAGCCTCAGTGGTTACACAGTGGTGTCTTTATGTTTTGGAACTTTGGAGGGCAAGGAAGAAATGGGAGGGTTTATATTCCTACAAGTAGCTCATAATTTCATGGTGTACCTGTCATAATAAAAGCAGCTTTCTTCCTGAGCCATATTTCAAAGTTGCTCTGTCTGGAATCTTGCCTAAGATGTTACTTAACTTGTGTGTGTGTCTTCTGTTAGTTGTAAGCTAGGAATATCTCTTGCAAAAATTGATTTAGAACTTTGGAGGCACAATTTTGTTAAAGTATACTAATATCAATGAGAGCAAGGTATTTCTGCTTACCAAATTAGAACAGTTTCACTTTGGTTTATAATATCTGGGCCTCTACTACTACTGTCAGCATGCTAATGTGGATGTTTTGTTAATACTTCACAGGTGGAGGATGAAGTTGATCACAGCATTCAGAAAGTCTATAATGGGTATAACGGGACGAATCCTGATGCAGCCAGTCGTGCTATTGACTATGTACAGAGGCAGGTGAGACAGCCAGGCCCATGAAATGTTTTGTAGAAGCTTCTCGGTCCTTTTTTTTCTCTGAAATGCACAAGGTGCACAGCATCAATAAAATCTCTTCCCTGATTTTTGACAAATCTAGTAAACGGTTGGTCAATAATTAGTTTGAATTATTACGGATAGTAGAATTATGAAATCTTTGATGGAGATGTATTTTGCTACCTAATAGGCTATCAATAATTAGTGTCTGAATCCAGATGTTTAGTACTTGTCTCCCCTTTATTTTTCTGCAATGTCCCATTGCAGGATGCTCTTGTTTCTGCACAATTTTATCTAGAATCATCCCAATCATTCTTGATTCTAGCTAATTTTCAGTGTTACAAACTTCTGTTTTGCTCTTTTGGAGCAAAAATAACCATCAAAGTAAGGCAATATTCAGGAGCTTTCAACATTCTTACAATTGCATCAATGAAGTTTAGTATTTTTATATTTAAATATTCAACACATTTAAATCAATGGTACTATTAATTAATACCTTGCCAGGATTCCTTCATGAAAGGAAAAATTGAAGGTAACAAGTAGCTAATTGAACCCTTAGACTTTTACCTCTGTTAGAGGCTGTACTGCACACAGGAAGACTTGAAGGCCCACTGAAGTATGAGCATTCTGGAGGCTTTTTCTTCAGCAACATCTGACTGTATAAAACTAACTTAAATTCTGGAATTAATTATTCTGTGAGAAAAATGGTCTGTGGTTTAACTTGAACTATGCCTAGAAAAACATAGGGTTTTGCATCCATAGAGAGCTGCAATGATGGAGCTATTTTGAGCTCAAAATAAAGCTTTTTGCCTTGTGGGGAGGGTATGAGGGCAATGAGCTGGGTTGTTAAATGCTCATCCAGAACTGGAATTTTAAGCCTTTTTTCTGTAAGGAATATATCTTAAATGATTTAAAGCTGCTAGTAATTTTGCAAACAATTCAGTCTATAATTTGATAAAATAACTTTATTGTCAAATAATTTGTGTTAATTAGCAGAGGCATCCTAATCTTCATGTGTTGCTGTTCTTGGAATTAGACTTGCTGTCTCATCTCACTTTGCTGGTAAACCCAGTGGCTCTTTACTGGTATCTCTTTCAGCTGCGCTGTTGTGGGATCCATAACTACTCAGACTGGGAGAATACTGTCTGGTTCAAACAAACTAAAAATAACAGTGTGCCCCTCAGCTGTTGCAAAGCGGCCCTCAGCAATTGTACTGGCAGTTTGACCCGCCCAATGGACCTTTATTCTGAGGTAAGATCTACAAAATATGGATCTGTTGCCATGTGCACCTGTTGGCAACTAAGTTTTTATAGTAGGAGTAAGAAATAGTGGGTGTATTTGGTGTACTGGGTAATAAATGTGGTTTCTGAAGAAGGAAGGAAACTTTCTTCCTTCCATACTGACTTTGAAAGAAAGTTGGTCTTATTGTTTAGATTATTTTTCTGTACTCAGAGATTTGTTAGGGAGGATAGGGGCTTCCTTGCCTATCCTGTGTGGCTGGATATGTAATGATGTTTACTTGTTCCAGGGTTGTGAGGCTCTGGTTGTAAAGAAGCTACAAGAGATCATGATGTATGTTATCTGGGCAGCACTAGCCTTTGCTGCTATTCAGGTAAGGGCTTTTTCATACACTTTCTTTAATGCTGTAAACTTTTCTCAAATGAAATTCTAGAATGCTCTCTAAGTCGCTATAGGTATGTGCACGCTATTAACAACTCTAATCCCTACTTGATTTGGAGATAAATGGGCTGCATTCCAAAGGGTCTTAAGTATTTCTGATCCAGAAACTACATGAACGTACATACGTTGATCCAAAGAAGCTGGACAGTCCAAACATTACACACAGTAATCTAAGTAATCTACTAAAATATAAATGCTAAATTGTATTGAAAACTAATTATCCAAGCATCAGGTACCTGTATCTCACCAGTGTGCTCTGATAGCATTTAGCACTTGTATTTGCATAAAGTATTTGCTTTGCCAGAGATAGCTCATACCTCATGCCATTTTAGAGGTACGTCAGCTGTGCAAGTATGCTTCACAGCAAATGACTAGAATCAGAACCACCCAGAAGATATACCAGCATCTTTGACAGAATACTCTGCCCTTGTTAAACTGAGCTTTACATTGTGTTTTGAAGATGTCTTGATTGCTAGACTTGCAGAAAGGAGTTCTGAGTGGCAAACAGCCTGCACTAAATCTTGAGTCATTATTATTAGTTTTCCGAGTTATAAGAAAATAAATGAGGAAATAGACTATTTTGTGTCTCAGTATTTTCATATCTCTTTCAGAAAGACCAGATGTGTCTTCCAAAAATGTCTGTACATTTGGAATTTTGAGTGCTCATCAGTCCAGAAAGCTTAGTATACAAAATGGTGTAAACTGTGGCTGTATTTCTGTGTCTGAAAATTGTGCTATACATGCTAAATTCTGAGACACCTGAAAATTAATCTCAAAGCTAATTTTGTGCCCTTAATAGAATTTGAACTTAGAATGTGGTGTGCTTGTTGGATGAAACATTTTGGGAATGTTTGTGTTCAAAACTAACTTTTGACACGGATTGCATGTTTGAGGCTAAATCCTCTCTTGCAAACCCACTTCTGAAGATAAGAATTTTTTATTTCAGTGCTGCAGGGCTATTCTCATAAAATATGCAACAGTCTACATTGTAATATTATTGAATTGTCCAGAACTGGATTACTTCAGATACAGAACTTAATTTTGTCAAGTGCTGTGCTCAGTCTTCTGCAAAAGGAAAACACTTTTTAAATTGTTGTTTTTATGACTTGAGATTTTTAAAGATGTATTTCATTGTTCAGGTAGACCGAAAATGCTGTAGTTAAAAATGAAGGTCATTCATGGTAACCATCCTTTGATTTCCATACCTACTTCTGTGGCATTTTTTTAAATGTAGAAATAATGTTAGAAGGAAGGATGAGCTGTTTACCAAAAGGAGACAACGAGGCATTATTCTTTATTTTAGAATTTAGAGGTTGACTGTTGATTTCTCACAAAATGCAAAATTACTTTCACTTTTTAAATAAGAGCCAGAACTTCTGCCATGCACTTGCAGTGGAAACATGTCTGCTGGCATCCCTTAGTCCTTGCTGGCTGGTAATTCTAGGCAAATATGCTGGCTGTATCCTTCCTTTATTGACTACTGCTGCTTGCTTTGTCCCCACATGTCAGTAATCAAGCTATCAGCAGAAAGTCCATATTGCATAAACAGTTTGTCCAGAAAATAAGGACATCTGAGTTTTTCTGATAATGCTGCAGTATAGTGTGACATGGCTTTGCTTCAAGTTGAAACAAGTTACAGGACACCTGCTTGGAAAATGAGTAGAATAAAGAATGAATCAAAGGTGTTTGGGATACTTTTGAGGTTTAAGTAATAGCCACTGACTAATAATCACACTGAAGTCTGTCCAAGGTAGTATCTTTGTTACGCAGGTCAAAGGGTTCCAGTTGTGAATTTGCATGTACTGAAAAAGGATTTCTTGGTCTCAGCATAGTTCATATTAAATTATTTTCTGACAGATTTATTATTTGTCTGCTAAAAGTTAAGACATAAGGTAATGTTTTAGTCTGCAATGTGGTTGTGACATCCTCTTATCTGCAGTAGAGCACTTAAGTATGTACTAAGTCTGTTGCTCAGTAAAATGGTGTAAAGGCTAATTGAAATGTAAACAAGAACATAATCTCCAGCAAATGGCCCATAACCCAGGTCACATCCTGAAACCTAATGGACTGATAATTTGGCAAATAACTAGTGAATAACTTGATGTATTTCATTACTATTCCTGTAAGCACTTACCATACAGAGCCCACTGACCTGATTTTTATTTAGGATATTATATAAGATGACTATTTAGAAGCTCATTAGCTCTTATGACTTACAGGAAATTTAACCTTGAATGCTTTCTTTAAAACAAAGAAAATTGAAGAGTATAGCAGAATTTTTGTATGTCTTGGGATTTGTGGAAAACTCTCCTGCGTAAAAGCCATTTCGGGTGAGTTTGCATTTTAGTTAGGAAAGGAACTTAAAGCATGCAACAATTTTCAGGCCTCAACCATACTGACAGCATAAAAATAGTAATAAAATGGAGGCAAAGTTAAGAGTGGTAAAACAGTAATAGTGTTGCTTTAGTAAGTGCAGTGATCATTCTTGAAAGTAGCTTTTGGGGTGTGTAAGTAGTCATTACTTAACTACAAGTGTAGTATTTTGTATTAGTTTCTTGACATGGACTTTATTTTTTTTTCTATTCCATTACAGCTAACGGGCTTTTTGTTGTTGTATTCCACCCTTCCCACACCGACACACACACACACAAAATCAGTTCATATGAAAGGAGACTTGATCTATTACTGTTTGCAGTTGTGGGAGATCTTTTTAATTTTCTTATGAATGCCCTTCAAATTTCAGAAGGGAGTATTGGTGTCTACATACATATCTAATACAGACTGCTAAAGGATTGTTGTTCATCATGTTAAGAAACAACTGAAGAAAAACTGAATTGCCTGCTTTAGGGAAGGTTTATTAGAGGTACTAGCTTATTTTTCAGATTGTCGTGCTAAATTATTTCTGACAAATTACATATTTTCATCAGATGATAAAGATAAAATAGTAATTTCTATGTTTACAGTGAATTCTAGGAATATACTTACTTTCTAAAATGCATAGATGATTTAAATAGTGATTCAGTAGTTTACTTCATGAATTTGTAATATAGTGCCTGATACTGTTTCAGAATATACACAACTCAGTATACATAAACCCCCGCCCCCCAAAATTCAGTTTAAGTCATTGACTAAGATTATCTCTGTGAATAACTTAAGTGTAGTGGGCTTTTTTGTGGGTTTTTTGTTTGTTTTGTTTTGTCTTTGAAATAGAATGACATGTAGTAATGACATTCCATGACATTTCAGGTAAGAATTCTTATGGTTCTGCTTTTAATTTTAATGACTACACAATTAACTGGATTAGGCTTAACCCTTCTGAAGTGTCTTTGACGTCTGGGAAGAGGCATTTTTTTCAAGTAACTCTTTTTTAATTTTTATTTTTTCTTACTGACAACCATAAAGTCTGAAACTCTGAACCTGACACAAATACAATGCTTATTTTAGAAGTTGATGTGAGAGTTGAAATACCAAGTATTGATGGAAAGCAATGGAAGTGCTGGTTTTACCCACAAGCTGAAGTACCATTCTCTAGGTTATCTTGCAGATGACTTTTCTTGAGCTGAATTAACTTTTAGATCCAAAGCCATGAATGTGCAACAGCCAGAATATTGTTAACCTTTGCAGCTTGTTCTTTCAGGAAATCAAAAGCTTGTGTTAAGAGTTTCATCATGCTGTTCTTGAAGCACTGCTGCTTTAGGCTTTTAAAAACCATTCTCATTTCAGTCTTTCAGCAAACTTAACTGTCTCTACATGCAACATAGCACTTAAGCTTTTCTTTTAAAACTTAACAATTGTTATTCATGTGGCATTTGCATCAAGCTGCTTATAAAGTGAGTAGCTCTTCGGCCTAGTGATATGGTTTAACTTAATCTTTTGCTGAATCAAATGAAGAAACTTTGCATTTGCTTACCCACCCATTTCATTGTTCCACTTTTTGTTCAAGCTTTTCAAAAGAAATGTACCTGCTTGCTGGGTGATGCTTTATAATTCATTGCTGTGACAGAGCCTCTTGAAGTATTTGCATCTGTGAATAGACTTTCCTGTGTGCATATGAACAACTCAAGATGCTGTTGACAGTTACTGTCACCCATAGAACACATCTATAAACTTGAATCTTATCCTGTCCTCTAAAAGCATGCAACATTTCTATGATATCATTTGTCCCAAGTCCCTCATTATGTTCATTTCACTTCAGTCTTGTAAATGTGAGTCAACTTGCCTAAATTTTTGGCAAATTTGCCAGCATAGTCACAGTACTGTGAAGTTTAGTGTCAGGAGAATTTTTTATTTCATCCTTTGAAGAGCATGAATACAAGTAGCCGACCAGAACAGGTCTTGTTAAAGGTGTCTAAGACAATTTTGCAAGAAAATAAGGCTGGAATTTGAGGCCCATGCTTTTTGCAGCAGAAAGTGAAGCTTTTTCCAAGATGTTGGGTAACCATTTGTCTTCTGGACACTTAGATATTATGAATTTCCGTGCAAAATGAAGTCTCTTGAAGTATCTCTGTACTCAGTTTGTTTTCTTTTTTCCCCCATAGCTTCTGGGCATGTTGTGTGCCTGTATAGTACTATGTAGGAGGAGTCGGGATCCTGCTTACGAACTTCTCATCACTGGCGGAACCTATGCCTAGAAGAGAGCGCGAACGGGAGGTTCAATCTTCTCACTTGTGTGGAAGGTGAATGGGCCAGCTCTGCTGCGATAGCTTTGGAGCCCTACGTTAGTCAAAGCCCACCTTTCACAGATGAGGACAGCTGTAATGTACACTGGTGATGGGCAAAGCAACTCAGCTTTCCACCCACCCCTATAATTACCTGTGACTTTCACTGTTTTAGCCAGCTATTCATGTATCTAAATGTTTTAGTATACTAGTAAACTTTCTAATTTCAGAGCCATTTGCAAGTTGACAAGGAAGTCAAAGGATGTGTGCCTCTTGGTAGGTTACCTCTAAGCATTAACTGTCTGATTCTTGCATATAGAGAGAGAATTTGAAAGCCTTCACTACATGGAACCTTTTTGGCCAAAGTTGTACAAAGGAAGCCGGCTGTATTAATTTGGGAAATAATGTTTTAATTTTGCCCCTCACCAGTGTCACTTTTTAAAACACCTAAGTGAAGTCCAGTACACTTTATATATAAAATTGTACAAAATGACTACTAACCAAAATTTTAGAATCATGTGACTGCAGTTTTGATCTTCAGAGATCAATTCTTCCATGCGTTAGTGTTTTAAAATACAAGCTGGCTTTTCAGGAGTATGATGTATGCACTACTGTTCTATAATGAAATATTTCATTTTTCTATGAAGAGCGTTTTTATGTGTTGAGTGAACTGTTAGACTGTAGATCTTCATTTGGTTTGGAAATACTGTAGCCATGTAGAGTAGCAAAGTAGTATGTGAAAGTGATCTCAACTGTAAATAGTAAACCTGATTAAATAAAATCTCTGTATATCCTCCCTATAAACATGTCTTGTTTTCCATTTGAACAGATACACTGGAATCTTAAACAGAGTTCTGGCATGCCTAAAGTGTAAGCTTTAATGTGAAAGCACCAGTTTTAAATACAGATGTATGTAAGTGAAGGCACTTAAGGTTTGGTGGAAGCTTCTTTGTATTAGATTTGTTCTTTTGTATTGGAAACGATATCGGAGAAACTTGCAGCAGAACAATAAATTAAACTTGGTGGAATGTCAACACCTGCTGAGTGTAACTAGATAAGAACCTATTGCCTCTCCAAAGTAGTGAAGAATGAATAGCCACCTTGTAACTGCTGTATGTTAATTATGTATTAATCGGCTGGAGAATGGAGAATCTCACTGCTATTCACATGTTTAGTCATTGCTCTGATTTCCATGGCTTCAGTTGCTTCAGTCTTTGAAGAAGTCAGGAATGTTTGGAACTCCTGTCTTAGTCGTCTGTGTGCTTTATCATGCAAAGTGAATCTGTTCAGTTGAGCTGACAGCTACATAATATTCTCAAATATCCAGAGAAACATTACTCAGAAAATGCACCATTAACATGCGCAATCTGCTGCTAAGCCTAATACATCTTTTAAGAAATTTAAGTATTTTAGAATTGCCCTGATATAAAAGTATGTTTTGGGAATTCTTTTGACTTACAAAGGTGTGTTTCAGATGAAGCTAGCTAGGCCAAACAGTGGGACTTGTACTCAAAGCAGGAGGCATACCCAGATTCCTGTATAGGGCTCTCAATACTATACATTTCCACAAATACTTTTGATAATCATTTGGTCAGCACCAGCTATATAGACTTTCTGAATTCTGAGGAGGTTCTAAGCTGGAGAGCTTAGTTATAACTAGTTCCCTCTAGCTTAGTTCAGTTGATATTCAATATTACTGTAGCATTGAAAGTCCTATATTGTGCCTAAATCTTTCTGGCTTTGTGCTCTAGGAGTAAAATAATTTGTTAGGCTTCAGAAATGCAGGATCTGTGACCCACACTATAACACTGGAGGTTAATCTTCAGTCGCATAAAAAAGGGGGCAGTTTGTCATGGGAGATGAGGTAAAGCTAGCACTATGATCATTTCTATAGAGAAAGATAATAAATTAGGTTATAAATCTATTAATACACTTTAGTACTACTGCTTTATGCTACTCTAAGCTTCCTGTTTCCAAAGTGAGAGAATATATTTTGCTTTTACTAAAAACCCTTTGATTTTTGCCTTGATCTAAACAATGGGCATGTCTAACATCGCATTTTGCTTCCAAGAAGATCGTCCTGATTTACCAGTCTTCTGGCTGAATTCCCATGCATGTTTGATCCAAACTGTCTCCTATGCCTAATAAAACGCTGTTCCTGGCAAATTATGCCTGTGCTAAGAAAAATGACAGCAGAGAACCAGATTTCTGTCCTGTGGGTGAAAAGATGGTGCTATTGCAAACTGTTTCTTTTCTAGCAGACTGGTGGAGCTGCCTCTTGTTTGGATTATTGCTCAGCTGTCTTAGGCCTGATGCAAACTTTCCTTTCTGTTCTTTCACCTGAGTCAGTTGGTTCTTGTTGTAGGGCATATTTGGGGGAGGGAGGCTTGGGGAGAGTTTAAAGCCTTTGGGGGGTGGTGTGTGTGTTTGTGTGCGTTAGGGCTACTTTCTCTTAGGTGATGTTATCATAATGAAATGTTAGGCTGCTGTAAACATTCAAAGTAATAATTCAGTGTCACCACAAGAAAAGAAGAAAACCATCTCTTCCACCCACATACACAGAACTTCGGTGTGGGGAAGATGGGAGAGTTATCCTGTTCTTTAGATTTTTATCCTCTGCCTGTTTTTTCTAGCTGCTGCTGCTGAATATTCTGTTAGGGCTCTTGTGGCATAGTGCGAAGTTTCCCCCACTGGCTCGGTTGAGATGAGCTCAAGTATTGGAGTACTGGACTATTGGAGTCTGTGTAGTCTGGCCTTTCTAAGGGTCTAAGCCTCCTTTAGGAGACAGAGAAAGTCTTGAGGTCATTCTACCTATTTTCCTTTGACAGTGTTTTTTGACATTTTTCATACTTGGAAACACTAGTCCAGCTACTTTCTGGAGAGGTAAAACATCACAGCTCTTAAGTGTGTGGGTTTTTTTTAATAGGTAAAACTATTGACTGCTCTCATGAGATTTCATCTATTTACTTAACTGTTCTGAATAAACGATGTGCAAGATTTTCCTACACACTTCCTATATCTGTTATCCTCCTCTCTTGTAGTGCAATCTACCAAAATTCAGTGCGCTCATGATCAGATACTGTATCGGAGAAGAAACAGGACTTTTGGGATAGACTTGATAGGTTTGTAGGACTGATTACTCTGTACTTCACTGATTAAACTTCCGTGTTCTACTACACTTTCAAATTCTGATAATACTCTCTCTGAAATTTAGCCACTTCTTTTCAGCAGCTGCTACTTTTGGTGTTTTTTTCAGCCACTGAAGCTGTTAATAGCAGGTGTATTGGGGGTTTGGGGAGAGAAGAAAGATTTGTGGCTGTAATTTAAGGATGCGCAGGTGGGTGCTTGCTGTTGTTGGGCAGCACTGCACCTTCCAGCTTCAGCCACCTAGCAGCATGTTTGCTTCACGCTGCTTGCCTAGCTCAAGCAGCTGCTTAGCCAGAGCAGCTGCCTCCCGCGCCCTTTGCTGGGGGCTCCATCCCTGTGCCCCTTGCACAAGAAGTTCATTCAGTCACTCTCAGAATTGCACGTATCTGCTCCTTGTGCTGCACAAGCATGTCACTTCTCTGGAGCACTGAGTCAGACCTTTAATTTAAGGGTGAAATGCAATAGAAGGCTCTAACCCAAGTGCATCTATGGATCCTGTGTGCTATAACCTGTAGTCTGTGTGCTTGCATGGGTGAATGCCATGCTTGGGCTACCTCCTGGGCCTGCTTTTTCTTTTTTTCTCCTTCTCTTCCTCCTCCCTCCCCCCTACTCCTTCCCAGTAACTGTAACATCTTTCCTTCCACATAAAAATAAACCTACATCTAGTAACCCACCTTGTTCTTCCACCTCATCTCTTTGCATCTCTCTCCTCCTTCTCCTAGCTGGTCTCCATCCTCTGAAGTTATATTGAGCTGGTGGAAAGACCTTTTGGGGACAGGCTCTTCTGAAACTTGACGTACGCCTCGGGAGTGTGAAGTGACGTTGATGTTCCGTCTAAAATGCTGCCACCGCAGAGCAAAGCTTGCCCGGTCGGAGAAACCGGCCCAACCTGATGCAGTGACCTATAAAGTGGAAACAGTAGCTGCTGGTTGCTTGGGGCAGTGCGCGGCTGATGGGTGATAAGATGCTGCCAGTCTTATCCTGTTTCCAGCTGTCTCACATATCATTACTTGTGTTACTAGGCTACATCAGTGCTGAGTTTCCACTTCCATTTTAATGGTTTTGCAATTCATCCAACTCCATTTGATGCTGTTCAGTAGTGGGGCGCTATGTAAGAGAGAGCAAAAGGACTCTGAGATGAGAATCTTCTATTTCTGCTGGAGAGAAATCTGCAGAAATGAGTTATTGCTGTTAATTCTGGCCCCACAGTTTGGGGCCACAGAGCTGTTGTTGTCAAGGCTGTTCAGAAGCTGGACAGCTTTGCTCATGGCTTGGGTATGTGCCACTTCAGCAGCAGTAAGCCTTTTTACCAGGGTTTACGCCCATTTACGAAAGTAACAAGTTTTTTTTTTTTTTTTTTTCTTCTTTCCCCTTGAACACAGGAAGTAGCTAGGTATAAAATGATAGTTGCCATTGAGCGAGGCTGCCAGCACGTTGCCTGAACAGGGGTTGTGTTTGTGAGCCATCCCTGGCACAGACGCCTTAGCAAGATTTTGCCAGACCCCTACAAAATAACACCTAGGCAATAGGCAGGATCTTATGTCTCAATACCTCCTATGGAAGAATTAGGTAGTGCTGTTTCCTGACAGCACTTTTCAGGCTTTGGAAAGTGCCCCATCCCTGCGAAGTGCTTGTTGCTAATAGCCCAGTGCTCCTGAGGGCCATTGCACTTGGGAGACAGCATCTACTCTAAGAGCATGAAAACCAGCACTTAAATGCGCTGGTGGTACAGCTGGGGCCCTGCGGGGGGCTGCAAAAGTCTCAGCATCAAGAAACGGTGTGTTGAGGACGCTGGGAAAAGGCTGAGCAAATGTAAGTTAATTTAGGGCCTATACTGATAGGTGCTCTGTTTTTTTTTTTTTTTTTTTTTTTTTTTTTTTTAAGAAAACCTTCAGAGGGCCCAGCTGTGTGGGGCAGATGCATTTCTTAAGCTCCCTTCTACCCCCAGAGTAAGGACGTCTCTCTGGGTTTGAACCCCCACATGGCTGCTGAATTGAGCAGTGACTGTAGGAAAACCTTTAGCTGCCACTTGGCAGAACAAAGTCACTGTTGCTCCCGTCTCCCTTCCTCACGTGGGTTCAGACACAAGAAGAGCTCTGCAGCCCTTCACCAAAGACAAAGCATTTCTCTTGTCTATCAGTGCATTGAAAGCTTTTCCATTCACATTTATGTTAACATTCTTAGCCTGGGAAGGTCAAAGTTCACCACTTTCCCAAGAAATTCCTACACAGGCTGTTTTCAGCTTAAAATTTCAGAACAATTCTTTCTTAGATGCAGCTGTTGAGCATTTGTGTCCTTTTGGAGCGGAAGGGAATGTACAGAACTCCCCCACTACATCGAGTGTGAATATTATCTATGTCTGTGCCCTCTTCCCAAGAGCCAGCCCGTCTTACTGCACAGCAAGCAAGGGCACTGTGTATACAATATAAATTGTCCTTTATTACAAGATTTACCATTGCAAATATTGATCTGACCATCACCCAAAGCTGGCTTGTTTAGACTGAGTCAGGGATTGAATAACCACAGAAATAGTTAGCGTGCCAGCAGGATTTTCAGCAGGTAATGTCAAAGTGCTTTACAGGTGCCTTATGACAGATGGGGAAAGTGATGTATAGTGACTGCTCCAAAATCATAGCAAGAGTCACTTGTTAAAAAGG